TAGAGAAGGAAGTTCCTCAATTGGTAGTGAAGGAGGTTTAAAGTGCTTTGAAATCGCAGGAGGTTTAAAATGCTTTGAAATTGCAGGAGGTTTAAAATGCTGTGGAACTGCAGGTGGAGTGGGTTCAAACTGCTGCTGGTGCTGCAGAGGAGGAGGAGGAGGAGGGAAGTTTGTTGATTCTAAAGGAGGAGGAGGGAATGATGGAGGGTATGGTTGTTGCTGTCCTAGTGCTGCTACTACTGACAGCTTTGAGCTCTTTTTAGGAGGAGGAGGAGGAGGCATTTTATAAACCTTATACTTGAAGCTACTCCAGTAGTGATATGACCTGCTCCTTCAGTGAGGAAGGATCACAGTACGCATGAGTATATATATACATGTACTGTGAATTATTCTTTGACACTTGTACAAAATAACTGTTTAATGTAAAGTACAAATTTTCAATTTAAACTGCTAAAGATAACTTTATAAATTAATAATAATACTAACAATAAACAATAAACAATGAAAATGAATAATGAATGCAACAAAACATTTAGTTTAATTAAGGGAAGGCATTCACAACAAACAAGGCAATTATGATGGATAGCAATTTACATAAAGAGACTATTCTCTTGCTATTATACATTGTAAATGTGATTCATGGTTTAATTCATAGAAAACCTTAGAAAAACATTATTAATTAAGAATCATGTGTATAAATCAAGAACAAAATAAAATGATAATAATATTAATAATAATAATAATAATAATAATGATGATTGGCTTTGATTAACGATTGATTGTGAGTCTGTATTGTCATTTATATAATATACACTGTATCTATTATTATTAACAAAAGAATTACCACATGTAATAGTTAAGATAAATTAGTGGCAGCTGCTTGATGATATAACTGTAATAATTGATACCTGCCTCCAATCATGAAGTCAAGAGACTGTCGGAATATATTACTAAAAATAGTAATAAATAATAATAATAATAATGAATAATTAAATACTTACACAACTGATGTAACTTGTACTTGGCACAAATCAATTAATTGAGCTTCAGTTAATTGAATATTAATAATTAATAAAACATTATTAATATAATTAACTAACGACTGATAGATCAGCTTAACTAGTGGCAGCAGCATACCTTGATTTAATAAACTAAATATAATATAATATGTGACCATAATTGACAAAAGGGCCCTTATGGCGGATTTTAAAATTGATCGTTATAATGGAAAATATCAACCTGTGAGTGCTTTGTTAGACAATCATTGTTTCTAAAAGTTTCATGGTAACTTTTGCATCCTGTGGAGTAATTTTATGATGAATGGGGCTCAGGAAGTTGGATTTCTTAGGCTAGAAAGACAAATTTCACTACCCGCCATAAGGTACCTTTTGTCAATTATGGTCACATATAATATAATTAATTAATTATTAGTTAACTACTTCTCAATGCTCATGATTAGTTCTTCCAAACACCTTAAGACGGTCATCAGTTTCATCTCAGCCTCTTCATTAAAAGACTGATTCAATAATGATCCTTGAACACTCATACTAAGTAATAATTTATATTAGTTCACACTTTCTACACAACATAAGTACATGTATATGTATCAGGAAATGTAACAAAAATGAGGTTTATTCCCTTTTTAAATTTTTAGAAAATTTGACCAAAGTCACTGTACTATAGTACAGGGACTTTAACCCCATTTCGGAGCATTTTAAAAATGCTTGTAAAACATCCAATTTTGATCAGAATGAGCTCAATCTTTCTACACAACATAAGCACATGTACCGTATAGCGTTTCATTTTCGAGGAGCTAAACTTTTGCTAATTTCGCGGTTAGCATGAAACAGCGAAATTAAAGATCCGCTAAAATTTCAATTGCCATTAAAGGTGTGGCACCATCATTGCGAATCCGCAAAAGTTATTTCCGCAAAAAATTGATTTTTATCAATCCGCGAAATTTTAGCTCCGCAAAATTAAAGCGCTATACGGTATATGCATCAGAAAATGTAATAAAAATCAAAAATTCTCTCCTTTTCATTTTTGACAAAATTTAGCCAAAATCCCTGTACTATAGTACAGGGACTTTAACCTAATTTTGGATCAACTTTAAAACATTCATTAAAATCCACTATTTGCAAGATTACGGCACAACTGTAAGGAAAACCCTGTCATTAACTGATCTTACATGGTACTGATGATACTCTCCCTAACTGATCCAAAGATGAACGTCAGATGGCCCAATGGGCTACCAGTCAGTACTGGAGGAGTTGATGGGAGGGAGGAGGGGGTAGGTATAGGGGGGATAACATGGGTATACCCTGTAATTAAATATTAATTAATCAGTTATTATTAATATTAATTATACATGTACTATTGTAGGATGAGTGGTTGTTGATGGGTGTGGTTCTGAAAGTGGTGGGTGTGGCTTCTCTTGGAGTTTCTTACAAAGAACTTTGAGTGAAGCCACATGAAC